GCGTGAAACGGGTAATCAAAAACTAAAAATCAGGGTAAGGGAATGAATTTTTTTTTTTAAAACAAACCACAACTAAGGGAATGAGGGAATCCCATTCCGTTTCCCCATTCCCTTACCCCCGAACCAAACGCCCCCTAAATATATACTCCGTAATTAATATGTTTAGGGTCTAATTTACATTTCTCGTCCAATTAGGATAAGTTCCCCTCCAATTACTTGATCTCTCAGTTGTATCTTAGACCTTGTTGGTAGGGAGGTAAACAAATCAAATATTTTAAATTCAATTCGCGATTCGTATTCGAATATGATGATTCGAATTCGCGTTATTCAAATACAAATTCAAATTCAAATATTATTTTTGATTCGAATATTAATCAAATACAAATACAAATAGGGATATATTCGATTCGGATGATATTCGAATATTCGAATATATGTATATATACACAGACCATGTTTTCAACATCAAAAGTCAAGCAAAGTAATATAGTATAAAGTGTATTTAAAATAATAAGAATTTAATAAATTAACGTAACACGAAAATCTAAAGCATATGATTTTTAATAGTTATATTTTATAAAATATAATTTGTGTAAAATGCAAATGTATTAATGTTTTTATATGCGGAATATAGTATAGTATAAAGAGTATCGTAAGTTAAATTACAAATTGATGTTGGTCCATCATATAAATTACATAGTATGATTGTTCAAATATCCGTTTATGATTCGATAACTATTCGAATATTAATCAAATACTTATTCAAATCTTATTTTGAATTCGTCTCATATTCGGATTCAGATTCCCATTCGAAAAAATTAAACAAATACAAATTCAAATATATCAGTATTCGCTTCGATTCGGTTCGTTTACACCCCTACCTGTAGGTCTAATTCACGATCTGTTTGGGTGATCACGTTCAGAACAGTGAGCTCTACAACATAGGATAAACCCTCATGTTATTAAGGCAAATTAGGAAATAATCTTCGTATTGTCCGGCTCAATAATTAATTAATTTTATAAATTAATTAAAATACTAAGCCGGGTTTCGAGGTGTTACTGTAGACACAGTAGTTTAATAGGAATAGTCAAGGTACATTTAAAAAAACATATGTAAAAGGAAAATATAATCGCTTCAAATAAAAGATTTAAGGAATAATTCCTCAAACACGCTCGCAGAAAACCAAAATGGATTAGACGTCGCCTAAATTAGACGTCTACCATACGAGAAGGCACGTGTACAACATTGGGCATGTTTGGTTTTTGGCATTTGAATGGCGTTTGGCTGTTTTGACCAATTTTAGCATATTTGACTGGTCAAATCGCCAAAAAAAGGGTTTGGTAGTTGGCTGCAAGAGTTGGCTGTTTGAGCCCGAAAAACCAAAATTTAAAAAGCTACGGGGAGTAGCATTTTGGTTTAGTAGTTGGAAAATAGATTTGTTATTCTTTGTTATTGTATGTAATTTTTATGAGTAAATAAAAAATTATTATTTATTGCGTAATTAAATAAAAAATTGGTATTCAAATAAATATATAAATAAAAAAATAGATAAATAAATAAGTAAATAAAATAATAATAAGAAAATAGATATGTAAATAATATGTATATAAATAAAGAAATAAATATTACCTCCGTCCTGCTATATTCGTCCACTTTTGACTTTTGGAACTGTTCATCTAATCACTTTGACTCATCAAATTCTCTCAATGTGTAAGCCTAAATATAGTCATGTGTGATCTTGTTTGATTTGTCTTAACATATAGATTATTAATATATAATTTCTATAATTTCTTAATATACAAATTACAAGATAAAATGGATTAAAGAAGTGCATTGGATGGTATGTAAAAATGAAAGTGGACAAATATAGTGGGACGGAGGGAGTAATAAATAGTCTCTCCCCATGTGAATTTCATGAAGCGATATGCGAGAAAAAAATCTCATTTTTTAAAGATTTTGGTGCAAAAATAAACTAATTATAAACGGCCCGGTTCTAGTGACACTGAAGTACGGTGCCACTGGCATTTTGGCGCACCTCCAGTGCTCCGTTCGCAAAATTGACGATTCCTATTCCCTAACCCACCCCTAAACCCCCCACCCTACTCCCGCCCCTACACCCCCACCCCAACCCCGCCGTAAGCCCCCCCCACAAAATGTGTGGCTATTATGCGTTGCATAATAGCCACACATTTTGTGGGGGGCTTACGGCCAACGCATAATAGCCACACATTTTGTGGGGGGCTTACGGCGGGGTTGGGGTGGGGTGCAGGGGCGGGGTATAGTGGGGGGTTTAGGGGGTGGGTTAGGGGGGTAGGAACCGTCAATTTTACGAACGGAGCAACGTAGGTGCTCCAAAAACCCAGTGGCACCGCTAGTGGCACCGAACTCCAGTTTCACTAGAACCCCACCGAATTATCGGCCCGGTTCTAGTGACACTGGAGTACGGTGCCACTCCGGTGCCACTGGCATTTTGGGACACCTCTGGTGCTCTGTTCGCAAAATTGACGGCTCCTACACCCCCTAACCACCCCCCAAACCCCCGCTCCTGCACTCCAACCTGCCGTAAGCCCCCTCACAAAATGTTGGGCTACTATGCGTTGCATAATAGCCACACATTTTGTGAGGGCTTACGGCGTGGTTGGGGTGGGGGTGCAGGGGCAGGGTAAGGTGGGGGGTTTAGGGGGTGGGTTAGGGGGGTTAGGAACCGTCAATTTTGCGAACGGAGCACCATAAGTGCTCCAAAAACCCAGTGGCACCTCTAGTGGCACCGAACTCCGGTGTCACTAGAACCCCACCGAATTATCGGCCCGGTTCTAGTGCCACTCCGGTGCCCCCGAATTATAAATTCAAGAACTACATCAAAAATTATTTGAAACAAAATATGATACTCCATATAATTTTATTATTCTATCAATTGAGTGATAAAAATACATAAATGAATAAAATCATAATGACTTTAGAACAATATATAGCTTAAAAGCTATTTTGAAAAATCATAATAAATAAATATATATTCCAAAGCATGTTATACCATATAATTATATAAGTGAAAATTTCATTAAATTAAATTCAAATTATAAAAGCTATTTTGAAGAAGCTAAGTTTGCTAAATACAGAGTATTTTTTAGGAAAATGTTAAAGTCACAAACATATAATTCACAAACTTTACAAACTTGCCTTTTGTGGATTTTAAAATGAAATATCTTTTATTATTTGAGTGCATCTTATTTCTAAGAAAGTGTTAAAAAAATAAATTTGTGAATTTTGTTAAGGTTTTGTTTATGACTCTAACATCATTCTATTTTTTATCAATAGCCAACATAATGGTTTGCTCAAAGCCAACTCAATCAATAACCTGTTTAAAGCAACCAACGCGACTAGAAACTTCCTTCACCCCGCTTCTCGCTAGAGTTCCCCCCTCCACCCCACCCCCTCCCCCACCCGCTTCTCGAACTCTCCATTTTCGCCATCCGCCGCCTTGCTCCCATCGTTCCCTCGCCGCCGGACGCTTCTCTTCGTTGCTGCTGCTGACCTTCGATCTATTTTCTTCCGAAGTTGACGCCTGTATGGAAAGAACGGTACAGCTAGCGGGCCATAGGATATAAATTGCGGATTCGAAGCTAGGGCACCTAGGAACTATTCAATCTTTGCTGGATGGACGGAGCAGCCGAGCCACCGACTCAAGGGAATGGCTAAAAGAGTTGAGGGCGGCATTGATGAAGTATAACTCTGCTCCCTACTTATTTCAAGAAGAAAACTTCAATCGTGGGAGAGAGAGAATGCCTCCTGGACTTGGACTTGGACCTATTGCCGAAATGTTTGGAAATTTATGCCGCACGTATAAAGAAAAAATGGAGGAGGAGAAGTACAATTATGCATCCTACTTCAAATTACATTTTTATCTGATCTTTTCTCTTGTAGGGGTTGTCAACAACATGCCTTCAATTGTTTTGTTTTCAGGACGAGTCTTAGATAGTGCTGTGTTTGTTTTAAGCTTTTAGTTAATATTTTCCATGAAGATGTACTATTTGTTGTTGATTTTCTGCAGCTCCTTGTTCAAAATGAAGCTACACATAGATCCCTCAGATGGTGTGGAACTATACAGTTATGAAGAATTGAATGCCATGACCAATAATTTTAATAAAGCAAATGAGATTCAGGAGACTCTATTTGGGAAACTGTATCGAGGTTTAGTTAATGGGAAGACAGAAGTGTTGATCAAAACGTGGGAGTTTATTCTACCGCCCCAGAGGGTCTTCAATGACCATCCGACTAGATTCATTGTATGTTAGCTTCCATGCCTTTGAATTCTTTATCTACTATTTTGTCTAAATGTTTAGTGAAAATTTGCAGAATGAGATTGAGATGTTGACGGGTGGAGATCAGCATTCAACATTGATGAAACTAAAGGGGTTCTGTTTTCAGACAGTGCTTGCAGTGGTCTATGATGAGAAACCAACTAAGTTTTTGTCAGGGGATGATTTGTCTGGTAATAATGTTATATTGGTTTGTATATTTGTTTCTCCTGCTTCTGTTGTGGTTTATAACAAATGGTAAATCTATAAATATGGAAGTAGAAGAATAAGAATAGTAACTATCTTCTTAAGTAAGGATCACACCGAAGAAACACAGAGTGTTCAATCCAGAATATCCCACCTCAAGAACTACAGAGCAATGCACAACTGAATATCTTAGCATACTTGGGATAGTGACCCATGATTATGAAAACCAACTCCTAACGGACTTGGACTCTTCAATTTAACCACAATCAGTGCCCAACTCCTTCATATCTACCCTAATAATATAAGCGCCTAATAAGTTATGCTTACGTTTGATGGTCTTTTTCCCATCAAATTACCTCCATCCCACTCGCGCTTCCTTCATCACCACACATCACCGTCTTTTCCCCTCTTTTTTTACACTTCAATACCAAGCTTCTCCTCTTCTCACCTTCAAACATGCACTGATCTACTTCACCTAGGTAATTTCATAGGCCCTTCCATCATTGAACTCATGGTCATGATACCAATTTTTTCCATGCCCATTTATAAATTTAGATTTAGATGCTTCTACTCAATTGAAACACATCAACTTTTAGGTTAGGGGCTTCTGCATATTTCCCACGCGCGTTTAAATTATCTTAAGAAACCATTTAGTAATTTAAAGAGTTATTAATTCGTTTTTAAAATTTAAGCCATTATACTCTTCACACATATTCATCTTTTTTCTTGTTGGATAATATTCCAAAAATCTGTTTATCTGATACTTAAATCAAAGCTGTTATAGATTTTGAGTGTTTACAATTGGTAACAGACCAAGTCAATTTTTTGTTATAGAAACGGCTATGTTCTCACCTGACGTTTGGTACCCATGAATTGCTTATCAGGAGCTATTTTGAGGTCTTTGTTACACATGAACTGTTTATCAGATGATATTTTAAGTGTTTTTAGAAGCAACTGAAAATTCTCCAACGAGATGTTTGAACTTGTAAAATCAGCATATATGCCTCTGCTTTCATCAACTTAAAAAAATTGAATAGTAGTATTCACTTGTGTTGATATTTTAAATAATCTCGTATATGGAGTATGTTTTTTGGTCCATTGTTTTGTTGATGTTGATCTTAGCACTGCATTAGGGAATAGTAATCAAAGCTTGAGACACACTTTCATTTTAAATACCCTATAAACCCAAAAACGTGAACATTTTAAACTCCATTTCAACTACCCCAATGATCCCTAAGATGATACCACTATATTTGTGTGATGCTAGAACATGTTATTTAGAAAAATGCATAAACTAAACGAGTTTTCAATTTTATTTTTTGTGATGTTGTTTATGGGATCCTTCTCAGATTATTATATGTTTGTGTTTTTTTTATATTGGTTTCCAACCATCAACTGAAGTACCAATTTATACATTAGTTAGATAAATTAGTATAATAATTTAGAAATTTTCTAAGATATGAAAAACTAAGAATTTCCTTATGTTTGGAAACTTGCATTTTATTTTGAGTTAGTTTTGACTTGTTTACCACTATTTCCATTGTTTATTCATAATGTGGGTTTGCTCAGCCATTCGTTTTACCACTATGTTCACTGTAAGGACAAGCTGCAAGATACAGTTGTTGGCTTTTGACATTTATGCTTCTGTGATAGCACATCTTCAGACCAAACACACGTCATGTTGAGAGTTTGCACGTAGGTATTAAATTTTGATAGTAGTTGTATGGCGGCTTTAAATCATGGTTATCTGAAAACAGTGTTTCAATGAGAGGGCAAAATTTTTACGGAGTATATTTTAAAGTACAAGATTGTGAACTCTAGGCATGTATCTCAATTCTCACCTATTAAATGACATTTAATACTGAGTTTGTAACGCATGAGCTGATCCTAGTAAATGGATCATCTCAAGGTGGCTATGGCAAGGAGAGATGTGCCTCAAGGCCCTCAACCTAAATGTTCTTTTGGTTGAAAATTTTGTTGCCTGCTGTGCGCAAGAGTAACATTAATTTTGGAAAAACACATATCCATATTTTGAATACAAGAAACCACTTTTGGAGTGTACAGCCTGTTGTACAAGTGGTCAGGTATTTCCTTCAAATGATCATCAGTCATCACATTTTGGGACACTGCTGCATTTTCCATGTGAATAAGTTTGTACAAGATCAGAGCATAGTACCACATGGCCCCCAAAAACTCCTTATAAGTCTATTGTGAGGCTGCAGTGACTATTCTTTTTAAAATTAGATGTATTTTTTTTTGTAAATAATTTATTTTATTAGAAGAATAAAATAAGTACACATTTGGAGAGGTCTAGACCAGATCCCCAAAAGTAGATACAAAAGAGAGAAAAACAACTAAAGGAAGAAAAGGAAATCAAATTGCAAAAAATCCTCAGCAAAGAGTAAAATCTGCAACAAGCTTTTGGCATTAACAATCTTTCTTTATCATTCCTCTTCTGCGCATATCTGTTACGTGATTCCATCACTCTTGCTATATAGGAAGGCCTTCAATCACAAATTTTTCAAGTCATCTCTATTATATCCTCCTTTCATCTATGTTTTATGAAGGTTGGCCATGAACCATTGCTGGATCTGCCTTGAAATTTGATTACTAATTTTGGATCTGTTAGGCTGTTCATTATCAAGTCGATCACAATCGTAGTTCTTCCAAACAATCCATGTAATTAAACCTGGAAGGACACCTCTGAGTATTCCATTAAGATTCTTAGGAGTGTTGGAGACCCACCATCCCATCATGTGCTGTGCCAGAGTTAGTCCCTCTTTGTAGTTAGGTCTGTCCACCATTTGAGAAAAATGAGCCCATACCCCTTTGCTGATATCACACTGAAGGAGTGTGTGTTGAAGGCTGTCTTAGTGTCTTCATCGTTTTTGCAGAAATAGCATTGTGAGGGGAGGTTTAGATTGAATCTTTTTAGATTTTCTGGGAAGGGTAAGGCCTTGTCGGTAAGCTTCCATAGAAAGCATCTGACTTTTGGTAACTGATGCTCCATATGAATTTAGAGCTATGATTGGTAGTTTTGGATTATCTAAAAATGCCGCAGGCACATTTGAGGCTGAATTCACCTTCTGCCCAGGTAATATCTTCATTGACTATTCTATAGTGAGCCAACCCCTTGTCATTGACCCTAGCTATTCTTTTCCAGGTAGGAGAATCATAAAATCTTTCTATAATGTCATTATCTATATAGTATTTATCCCACATAAAACTAGATGTAATAATTAACGGAGTACTTAATTGGTTATGCAAAATAAAAATATGTTACTTTTTTTCTTGACATTATTATTGGCACCAAACACACAGTGCATTTCAAGCTAGTTTCACTTCCTTTGACCCCAAATGTATTTTACACTTTCCATCTGTGTGTCTTGATCATCTCTCATTTCCTTTTAAGGATAAACAAATCTATGATTTACAATATTATTGGTCATGGATGAAGTAGAAAAAGAGAAGCGATCTTTGTGGCATTACTTTTACTCACATGGGGTGGGGGGGGGGTTGAGTAATAAGTAAGGGCAAATAGGTCAATGTGCCTTTTTTTCTTAAATGGAAACTTGACAAAGACATTGGGACTATCCAAAAAAAGAGCTTTGGTCAATGAAGTGTTAAAGTAAAGAGAGTGTTTAATTCATTTTACACTTCTTAATTGGTATTCTATCCTTGTCCTCCTCTTGCAAATTTGTCTTTTCTATATCCAGGGGCTTAGTTAGAGATGGTAGGAAAACTATATAAGAATTAACTTTATGCAAATTATATCTTCAAAGAGGCCTCCTCTATGTTAAAGTGGCTGCTCCTTTAATAGTCCAAAATATAGTATGAAATATTGTTAAACCCATTGTGACAAGATGTAGGTACTAGTTAGGACTTAGGACCACTGTTCTTGTTAGCTTCTTGCTCTCATGATATTGTCAAACCATCCTGAAACTGTCAAACCCATTGTCTCATCATTATGTTTAAATGCCTCTTGCTCTGTTTTTTTCAGACCCTACTCTCGTGGAATCCAATTGTGTTGTTGCTCAACATACTTTTGGAGCAGTAGTAAAGTCAATGTCCCTATATAATTGGGTTAGTGACTTGTAAATGGTGATGAAGAAAACATACTCCTCACTAACCCTTAATGAACCGTTTGGTTCACCCATAATCACTAACAAAATGTGTATTGTTTCAAATAGTAAAATAATTAATGATATACTCCATGTTTTGTGAATTTGTGCTGCACTCAAGCTAATCCCTTAAGTCACAACCAAACCTTAAATAGATGTTACTGTAATAAAATGAAAGCAGACTCTTCTTCACGTTACTTATAACTGGGTAATATTTGCAGTTGAAAACTTTGGATTGGATAAGAGACTATATGTCGCAACTCAATTTGCGAAATTAGTTGTTTGGATGCACGAAAGACATATTTCATGTGGCTTTATACGTCTTGATAAGGTGATGTTTGATGAGGTAATAACATTGGTGGCAGCTTATGCACCTTTAAAATAATAATAATAATAATAATAATAATAATAGTATTAGTATTAATATTAATTAATAATAATAGTAATAATAGTAATATTAGTAATAGTAATATTAATAATAGTAAGAATAATAATAATAATAATAATAATTGTAATAATATTAATATAAGTAATATTAATAATAATAGTAATAATAATAATAATAACAATAATAACAATACCAACTGTAACAAGAACAATAACAGCAATAATAATAATAAGAATAAAAATAATAATAATAACAACAACAATAATAATATTAACAATAATAATTATTCATTTTGGCTTGCAGGACTTCAACATCAAGGTGTTCGATTTTGGTTTCATCGCTCATTTTAGCGAGGCAGACAACAAATATGCGATAGTTGATGTAGCTCTCTCTATAGATGCTTATGAAGTTTATGACGGTATGTATGGCCTTTTGCTTATGTTATGTAGTTTTTAAACCAAACGTACTAGCTTTATTCACACCCCCCTCCCCCTACAGAAGCTTAGAACTCAAGTTATTAGTAAGCTAGACTTGTATCCTTAATCGCTTTTTGTATGAAACTATGAAATAAGTTAATCTCTTCCTTATTTTGTACTTTTTTCAAAGCTCTACATAGCTTTCAATCTCTGAAGTTTTTTTTGCACATTGGGCGGTGCTAATGATATTGCTCCTGATGACTCGTGCTCACTAGAAATTTGTCATTGATGACCAACAACTATAAAGATTTATTTGTATCAACGTGAAATTTCAAAGATTACCTAGACCTATCAGAATGCATCAGTGGAGTGTGTACATGGCCCTGAACAACTAAGGGCATCACAAAGATGTCCTTGCCTCAAACTTTTGTGGCAAATAAGGACGTAGCTCCTCTTAGGAGTTAGCTAGGAGGGATCTCCATGATAATATATCATTGCTTAATGAAACCAACCGAGGTAAATCACTCCAACTAAGAGCACACATACACCATGTTTAGAATTTGAATGGACTCAATGCTTTCAATCCTTACAAGGGGAATTACGCCGCATCCCACTCATCTTATTCTTTACGTATTTAGGTTTTCTCTAAGGAGAAAGCTTATTTTCTTAATTCAAGTAAAAGTTTTATGTGACAATGATTTACAAGGCTCTCATGTTTCCTACAATGGTCACATGTTTCATGGCTAACTTTCAAAGTCGGTGTAACATGATAAACTAGAGCTTTAAATCCATTGACATGTTTCTTAAGATAATTTGGAATAAATGTTTTAACGCAATTTGGAATAAATGTTTCTTAAGATAATTTGGAATAATTTGGAACAAATGTTTCATCATTTCACATATTCAGATTATGTAATGATGTATATTTCTAAGAAATGTTCATCCATCATCCATAAACTTAGCCATACATTGAGAATTTCAACTTAGTAAATTTCAATTGCATTATTTTGTATGACGTCTTCTTGCAAGGCCCTCAGTAGAATTGTTAGCATTTCATATGCGGGTGCTCTGAAATATTCTTATGGTCCTATTTAGTTTCTTATGGATGTTGTAAGCAAGTTTTTTTATATTGAGAGAGTAAATACTAGTTCGCAATAGGCATTATGCTGACTTGGTTTCTTGATCTATACAGGTATACGCACAAAAAAGGCTGATGTGTATGTATTTGGCGTGTTGCTTGCTGATGTGTTCACAATTAATGCGCAAGGTAACATTGGTTCTCGATTCGTATGGTTGGTTGGTACAGTTCAAGGTGGTGATAAGAAGGTTGTGGATAAAGCACTGGTGCAAGTTGGTCATGAGGATCTTGCAAATAGCCTGAACAGTTTAATTGTGGCATGCATGAAAGTGAAGCCAAACGAGCGCCCAAATATGAAGGGTGTTTTAGCTTGCTTGTTAGGTTTGCTCAAGCAGAGAAAGAGAGGCCTCAATACAATGGGCGCACAGGGACTTCAAATTCTTCTTAGAGATGAGTAATGTTCTACGACGATTATTCATCCACATTGTGCATGGAATAGTTTGTGATGGAGTACCATCCTCAAGACCCCATTTGCTTTGAATTTATCGGGTAAGTTGCACTGTTATGCCGATTTTATATTATGTGTTTTTATTGGGTAGCTAGATGTTGTATACTATGGAATAATACTCTTTGTGTCCTTTCGTTGCCCGTTGAGGAACTAGTTGGTTAATGTCTAAGCCAGTATGGCGTAGCATTTGTGAAGCTTGCAATAATTCTAAATGTTGGGTTTCTTATGTTTTCGAACAATGAAGGCAATGACATTCGAAGTGTCTCTTTTTTTATATACCATATCTTAGGGATCATTCTCGTTGCTTCTTTTTTTTCCAGGTTTTCTTTGTTATAATTGGAAAAAATAGTCTCAAGATTGTAACAAAATTACACTTACAAATTGAGTTAGGAATCCATATTTATATGCCATAACTTAGTGATTACCCTCATTGTTGCTCTGTAGACTGGAATTGCTTCAAGTTTGACCCGTCAACACTAAAACTAAAGATAGACTTGGAGATACCTATCTCATTCACTCTCGAGGATCTCTTCTTCCATTGATAATCCTTTTCGAGCTGTGACAGATCAAACAGATCCATCGAATACCAGTGCGGGTGACCAAATTGAAAGGTGCAGACTGATTGGACTGTTGTGTGTAATAACCAACAACTCAATGTATGGCAACAAGAAAAGTCCATTTTTGTGTAAACTTCGTGACCAGTGTGCCAAATACCATATAGGTTGTGAAGTAACATTATGGTAGACAAGTTATAGATAAACCACAGATCCATAAGAGAAACTCAAGGTTTATATGTACAGGCCACAATGCATGACAAAACCCATTGTTTTTCATGCTTGTGCAAACACTTCTTGAGTTTGCACAAGCAGAGAAAGAGAGGCCTCAATACAATGGGCGCACAGGGACTTCAAATTCTTCTTAGAGATGAGTAATGTTCTACGACGATTATTGTTCATCCACATTGTGCATGGAATAGTTTGTGATGGAGTACCATCCTCAAGACCCCAATTGCTCGAATTTATCGGGTAAGTTGCACTGTTATATCGATTTTATATTACTCCGTATGTGTTTTTATTGGGTAGCTAGATGTTGTATACTATGGAATACTCTTTGTGTCCTTTCGTTGCCCGTTGAGGAACTAGTTGGTTAATGTCTAAGCCAGTGTGGCGTAGCATTTGTGAAGCTTGCAGTAATTCTAATGTTGGGTTTCTTATGTTTTCCAACAATGAAGGCAACCACATTCGAAGTGTCTCTTTTTTTTAATACTTGCATTGTGATTTGGCCTCAGAGCTGAATCTATATACCATATCTTAGGGATCACTTTCGTTGCTGCTCTTTTTTCCCGGTTTTCTCTGTTATAATTGGGAAAAAAAGTCTCAAGATTGTAACGAAATTACACTTACAAATTGAGTTAGGAATCCATATTTAGGATCATGATTAAGCACTTGAATCAGCAATTTAACACTTCGGAAAATGTTGATGTTGAATATAATTACCTGTCTTATTATCTTTGTGACATATTCATCACTATATATTTTCAACTAATAGACCAAAGATCGACTTGTTCACGGAATTGGTTTGGACTGAATCATTTTTTTCTAGTCAGGCTTCACTCAGTTATTATTGAACTAAATTAGATTGTATACAGTCCTTCAAAAAATGCTAATATGGCTCCCGTAAAATAAAAGTTAGTATGGGGGTGTTACAGACATTTCAAATGTATTGATAAGCTTGCTTCATGGATTTTTACTTTTTATTTATAATGGGGTCTGCATCTGCATCTGTGCAACCCTTCTGTCAAAAATCCGATCCCATCAGCCCAGTTAGGCCTGCGCCTTGAAAGAACTTTTGTGTCGTTCATTCACTGCCTCAAATGTACAAGGCAGCTCCCGAGTCAGCCCTCCATCTTCTCATTCTGTGTCCATTTGCTCGCGCGGTTTGGCTCTCCTCTCCATTCAGATGGTTAGTTTAAAATATAATTTAGAACCATTTAAAAACCCGCTTTCGGATTTTATCGAATGTCGTTACAGTTTAGAACATTGGCTGGCCGATATGTTTGCCCAACCCTACTTGAGACACCCACTTCACAAGTTATGAGAGGTATACAATTCAATGCAAATATAGGTTGTTTTGTGTATCCCTCTCTTCTATGAAATACTTCCTCTATCTCAATTTAAATTTCCTGTTCTGATTTATGATGATTGACTAAAATTATTTACAAATGATTTTATATGAAAAATGGTGTAGAATTAAAAAAATAAAAATTACATTTTTAAAAATTACATCAAAAGATCTATAAAACTAGTGGTGACATGACTAATAACTAATGAAAATAGGAAAAGAAAGTGAATAAAATTTGGCATTGAGAATAGTAAACTGACAATTTAATTTGAAACGTAGGGGGTACTACGAGTTATCTTTGTTGTACAATTTATGCAGCATTCTGTTCAACTTATACTTTTTGCATACTAGGTTGTATTCTGTTTGCATGATCTGGTCTGATCCGATATGTTTTTTTGAAGTTTTGATCTCATCAAGCCTGATTGGATCTGATCTAATCTAATCGAGTCTGATTGAATTTGATATGAATTTGATTACAGTTAAAACTATTATTATTAGTGTTTCTATTATTATAATTATTATTACTGTTATTATTACCATCTTATTGTTATTAGAAAGATTTTTATTATTTCTATTATTATTAATATTAATAATACTATTATTATTGTTATTACTATTAGTGTTATTATTATCATTTTGATTATTATTACTATTTATTGTAAATAATATTATTAGTATTAATATTTTTATTGCTATTATAATTATTACTATTATTATTAATATATTATTAATTTATTATTACTATTATTATTATTATTAATATCATCATTGTTACTTTTATTATTAGTATTATTATTATAGTTGTTATTATTATTACTATTCTTATGACTATTATTATTATTATTATTACTACTACTGTTAATATAACTATTTATATTTCTATTAAAATTACTATAATTTTAATTTTAATTTAGCTCGAATTTATATGAAACCAGATCAGGTTAGATCAGATTAAATCAGAACTATAAAAAATCATATTAGATCAAACGAATGAAACACAACTTTACAATATGTGACTAAAGTATATTCAATTTAACATACTGCTTATCAAACTATTTGGAAAATTTAAAATTAAAATTTATATATTGAAAAAAACAATTTAAAGTTTTACGAGTAATAAAATGAGTGATGCCATGTTTGAGCTATTTTAAACAAATGATTAAAAGTGTGTTCAAGAGCAACTTCTGCGTTCAATATTAAAATTTTAAAAAGACTATTTAACAGCAACATTTAGCTATAGTGCTTTCAAAATTAATCTAAATTATTAAAATGTTTATCTCAAGCACTAATTAAAAACGATATTTCTAGACAAGGCCTAAGGTTAGACTTGGAGAAAAACAATTTTGACCCGTCAACACTAAAACTAAAGTTAGACTTGGAGATGTCTCTCTCATTCACTCTCGAGGATCTCTTCTTCCATTGAGAGTCCTTTTCGAGCTGTAACACACCAAACAGATCCGTGCTATACCATTGTGGGTGACCAAATTGAAAGGTGCGGAGTGATTGGACTGTTGTGTGTAATAACCAACAACTCAATGTATGGCAACAAGAAAAGTCCATTTTGTGTAAACTTCGTGACCAGTGTGCCAAATACCATATTGGTTGTAAAGTAACATTATGGTAGACAAGTTATAGATAAACCACAGATCCATAAGAGAAACTCAAGGTTTATATGTACAGGCCAATGCATGACAAAACCCATTGTTTTTCATGCTTTGTACTTTTATTGTTAGTTATCGAAGTCCTTTTTGGTCCCTTATGAAGAAAAAACATGCAACGCTTCAGACCTGCACTTCCTTCTTCTTGCCTTTGGACACAAAATACCAGCCCAGAGCACCAGCACCAGTTATGACACCAGCGATGACTCCGTAGTTGCGGTAGTTGTCATGAGAAGCCCCGTGTGTTGAGGAGGTCTGGGCGCCGGGTTTGGCATCGCTCCCAGAAATTGGACCCCCAGAGTTGCCAGCAGCTGCTTGTTCTTCTGGTGTGGGACCCTGGGGAAAGAGTTCAAAGAAAAAGGTCCACGCTCACCACACCCACATGCTAGATCCTAAAACCCTATGGACTACTCCCTCTGTCACATAAAATGAATCCTTTCTAACCAAGGTACAAAATCCTTTCTAACCAAGGTACAACTCTTAAATTTTAGTGAGCTAAACCAGGTGCCCTATTAGAAATATGTAATTGTAGTTATATTCAATAGCTTATTTGTTGGTTTAACAAAATATTTATCCCATCTAACTTGTTTGGGGTACTTTTTTATATTAAAGAACAATAGATATAATTAAACTTAGTTTCTGTTGAAATACAACTCGTTGTTTTAGTAAAAAAGCATTCTCGGAATATGACTTTTTTTTGGGACAGATGGAGTAATAGGTTTGAAGGAAATTAAAAATCAGGCACTAAGTAAATAAATCACAACTCCTAAGGGATGATTCACAAGCAGTGGGGAAGCACAAACCTTTCGGGCAAGCTTCTCCAATTTCTCCCGCTCCATTTTCTACATTGGTAAAGGAAGTGCAACGCCTTTAGAAATATAAACTATGAGGGGGAGGGGGGGGGACAGAAGAAATACAACTCAATGAATCAATAAGCCTCATGCTAGTTTTAAATCGTTTGCGTAGGTCTATTCATATAACTCAACGCTTAGATGCTTTGAGGCTGAATCACTTTTTTGTTCAATTCTGCGGTGCACAAATTTTAAATAGTGGATATGTGTCCTCGTAGCCATTCAACATTTTCAGCATAACTTGTAATGCGTTATAACTTAATAAGCCGTTTTTACGGCATTAACCTTTTATAGATTTACAAGGGCAAAAAAGCACATTCTAGGAAACTATGATGCAACATGCATTACATCAATGTAGTTCATGAACCATCAAGATTTACCTGGTGATATTCCTTCCAATCATGTAAAGCGAAAAATAAGTTACATGTACTTCACTACTTCTTCATATAGACATGTAGTCTAACCACATGTATGTAACTTGTTGAGAAAAGCAAGCACAGATACTGGAGAGAGGGCAAGGGCAGGGGGAGGGACCACAAAACTAAGAAAAATACAAAGCACACTTAAAAAGATGAATACAGGAGGGCCGATGTATAAAATTAAAGATTCACCTTGATATAGATATTTTCTGCAGCTTTTTCCTCCTCGCTGAGCACCTTTCCACTAGAGAACCTGCGAGACACAAACCTCAAAGCATTCCTTGCTGCCATGGAGCCTTTTCCTTGATACCAATTTTCTGTAAATGAAAGAGTTCAAGAATAACTTAACAATAAGCGAGCCAAGTTTAAATACGGAGTAACATAATTATGGGACAGGGGGCAGTAGAAATCTAGAGGATGCTAGTACCCAAACTAATTATTTATGGAATGCAAGGCAAAATATTCTTTCTGGAATCAGTAAGATCAACAATGACAACAAAAATGACCCGCCCCTACTAAATTTATATAAATCACTATTTACAGCATTACATTCCCTATCAATCCACTATTTAGTATACTTTCAAAAAAAATCACTATTTAGTATTTACTGCAAATGCTAAGAATATAGGTCTAGGCATTCGTCACTATTCATATGTAGATAAGTTTCTAGAAAAATGATCAGACACAATAAAATGATAACAGACACATGATCAAGGAGAGATACAGAGTAATTCCAGTAGCAAAATGAATTTGCAGAGACTTGAGGATTGGTGATTGCTTCATATGCCCAGTAATAAAAGAATACAGATACTGTCAATAAATCCAATTTTGGCCTTATTTTAAATATTTCATTAATAAATTTAACGGGATCTGGAAAACTCTACAAAAAAAACAGATTCTGAAACAAAAAACAAAGAACAAAAAAAAAGGTGTGAGAGTCACCTTAACTGTGCAGCATTGAAAATTAAAATATCCCTTGAATACTGAAGGATCATTTAGCCAAAAAGACTGAATCATCTTAATAAACACAGAGAATCACGCACAAAAAATTGCAGGAGTGCAGATCACACAAAGTTTTCAGTTTCCTTAAGCTCAAAATTATGCATATACATCTGATAAATTATGAAAAACATGCCCACAAAATACACAAATAATCACAGATGTATACACATCTCCAGATATGTCATTGAGAAGC